CGAGTATGATCACCAACCGAGACTGATACGTGTACATAGTACATACATCAGGCTCCTGTTTGGATAGAACGTAGTTTGCCAAAATGTGGTACGCCAAGTATAATGGCTCACAGTCAATACAGTATACAACACCTGAGTGAACACGTGATAGAGACAATGCGCCTGTTCATGCAGGATTTCGATTTCGCTGTCTATCGTCAAGGAGAGTACAATTCCCTCATTAAAACTGTCCCACTGTTGTTTTGACCCGAAATACTGTTTCAACGAGATTTAAGGAACTTTGTATGCTCAGGCCACCTCACCTCTTACTAGGGGTTAAGCATCGTATGTACTCACCGGGGGTAGGACGGAGTCCCAGGTTACAGGGCTACTGGAGAAAAGGTGTATCCGGATGAAATAATTCCCTCATTGACAGTGTGAAACAGTATTTCGGGCACAACAGTGGAACCGTTTAATGAGGGAATTATTTGGTTTTGGGTCGTGGATGCTGAATCGTAGCTCCATATTTAACTCCCGGAAAATACTTAACTTACAGTTAGTATTGACTTGGTGTACAGTACATGTTAGAACCTGTTCCGATGTCGAAACAAGGTTGTAAAATATTATCATCGCGTTCGCCCTTGTGACATATCCACTCAAAATTATTTCGTTGGCCAATTCACCAGCCAACCATTCCACACCAAATGGCTACACGAAATTTGCATTGACAAGGGAATCGTGGTGGAGCCACACGTCATCAGTGGAGCTATCTGTCCCATGCTGTACATATGCTGCTAAATCTGGCGCAGTGGTTAGTGATAGCGAAATTTGATGTGGTCATGCGTGGCAATAAGTGGTTGTCGATGGCGGCTGCATCAGCTACCCTGACGACAATCAGTCGCCCCATTAACTATGAGCCAACAACTCCATGCTGGTTAGACTACAGTATACCAGTACTAGTTTGTAGACATTCATTCGCTGTGCCCTAAGGGTCTGGTTGAAGTAAAGAATAACCCACTTTTCCTCGTTAACTATGTGGGCACTCACTTATATAAAAAGTTCATGAAATACCAACTTTTTGAAAAAGTGGGTGGTTTGACTTGGATTTGAGTAGGTGTACTAGTATAAATTATCAACAAGTTATTAATAATGAGATGAAAAGTTGGCCCATATTATAGATACCGGATAGCAACTTGAGCGTCAGTATCCCCGAACCAGTCTTCCGCCGAAGCACAATGGAGGCCGGGGATATCGTAGCGTTCGCAACTACACTTGCAGCAGTAGCTTGTGTGGTTGCCGTTGTCGGACACGATGGCAGATCAAACAAGGAGTCACCGATGAATGTTTAATCCATTCGAAACAACGACTGACAAGGTATTTCTGCCCTACAGTACTATGCCAACATCATTTCACAACTAAGACTGTTCTACGTCACATGCGTCGAAGTCTGTTTTAGATGCCCTTGGCTTCTTCGCTGTCGGGCTGTCTTTGGCAGCCACTTCTAGTTGCCCAAGCTCCGTCATTATGAGTGATTGGCCATGAAACACCACTACTATCCGGGCACAATTTACACTGACCAGTTATTATTTTACCGGATTACTTCAACCAGCACCAACTTTTTCTCACTCAAAAAGTCGTCGAAAAAAAATGTTGATTTTACTTCAACCAGACCCTAATACTGTAAGCTTATCGTTTGAACAATTAATACAGTATCCACCTCATACCCCCCCCAACCCCTAGTGAATACGCTTGCATACCTTGTCATTAGTTTTAATCGAGGATTAACACGGCATTTGATGATGGTGAAAAAAGAACGGGGGGTTGTATTTGAGCAATTCCCCGATTAACATTTTAAATCATCTCACGGTTGTTTTTATCGAAATCCTGTTTTTATTAGCCCGTAGCCCTGTAACCTGGGACTCCGTCCTACCCCCGGTGCGTACATATAAGTACTTAATGCGCTAAATCCCCCGGGATAACTGCATCACCAGTGGTTAGTTCTCGCTAACCACTGAGATGCACTTAACCCCTCCATATAAAACAGTGGAACTGTTTTAATCGGGGAATTGTACTTTGTATTTCCGCAACAGTGAAACTGTTGGTAACGTTATCAGGGAATTTCCCCTGATATCATGCAACATTTGCCAGCATAAAAGCGCTTCACAATACTGTTGTCCAACAGAAACGATATCCAAAAACAAGCACGTTCACAATTCTGCTAACGTTAGCCCCAGTTCTTGTGACTCCCGCAACTTCGGTCGCCCCACACCTGTCTTTGGTGTGCAACCCCATGGCGCCATCAGATAACGTACGTGGTAGCCCGTATAGGTTTGTACTTAGAATCATCAACTGAGTTGTAGCGAAATGCCGGCGACACGACATCCCTCATCGCGGTGGCACTTGGGCTTAGTCTGGGTGTCCTCGTAGCCAGTCAAGTCGTCATGGCAACTCTGGGTTGGATTAACCATATCAATTCCATCATGACACGGGTGGATACTCATCGTGTACAGTCAGTTGGCGAGCGAGCATAAAGCACCGCGTTAGTGTTCACAGCATAAACTGGACGACATGTTGTATTGTAATTGGAATTTGCACGACGGCCAGCGTACAGATACTGATTGGTCAAAATATTAAATTCCTTGGATATGATTGGCCAATTCATTTCATGTGAGCGTCGACCAAGACATTGCCCAGAGAGCCTCGCCATGCTTACGAGTGCCAAGTCAAGGTGCATATCGCGGCAAGTACACCTAAGTGTATATATGTAGAAGTCATGTATCGAAGTCGATACCGCATATCTCTTCTGCGCTTACATAGGAAGCCTCCATTCTACGAATCATTACGGCACTATACTGCGTTTCTGTCTTTCGCTCAAGGCCGCTTGCTTTCACGTAAAAGATGTAATCTTGCTCAAACTCCTACCGGTACAGTTTGCTCACACTTGTGTGGCCATATATCGGTAAATTAACGTTAGCGTGCATTGCGAGCTGCACGGTAAATGTCCACGATAGTGTTGTCGAACGAGTTTTCAACATCCACCTTTTATGTAGTAAGTATGTCACGAGTGTTGAGAGCATTCAGTTGTAGAGTCAGCCTTCAAATCGAGTTATCGTTCACGACAACCAAGTGAGGAAGGAACGGAGGATAAAGAGCACGTAGAAATGCAAAGTGTATCAAAACTGACATATTTTGGATGTCTAGTCTGCCGCCCTATTGCAGGCTAACGTTATGCGCTTTCCTGCAGTATTGTTGAAAATGAAGTTAACTTATCACAACACATCGAGCTCGATGTACTACCGTTGCGACCACGAACACGCCAAAAAGCTTGCGATTTCGCCATGATTAGGGTCTGGGCAGTGCGTCTATATAAATCTCAATTCGGAGTCAAGCCGTCCATGACATGGTTTCTATAGTTTGGTTTCACAATGTCAATTGCAAGCTGGGCAGATTAATAGC